ACGTTAAAGAGGGTGGGAGATAGTATACAGCCTTGTCTTACGCCTCGTTCAATACTGATTGGCTTTGATTCTCTGTTGTTGGTATTAATAATGGCTGTTTGGTTCCAGTAAAGTTTGGCAATAAGTTTGATGTCTTTCTCATCTAGTTGGATGCTCTGCAAGGCGGTAATTAGTCTGATATGCTGAACGCGATCAAATGCCTTTTCAAAACATGTTAAACATAATATAAAATTTATCATATTAATTTCCCCAAAAAAGACTAAATGTATGGTTATAACAGCAAATTTATTAAGATGTAGGAGCTGGAAGGTCTGATAATATAACAAGTGATGGAGTTTAAATATCTAGGCATCACATTGCCTAGCTACGGAAACTTCTAAATTAAAGTGGAAGATCAAACGAAAGGCAGAATTTACAAAACAGTCATCAGACCAATAATGACATACGGAGCAGCAAAAAGACCTGACACAGAGAAGACACAAAGGATATTAGAAAAAGCAGAAATGAAAACTATTAGAAATATTGATGGTAAGCCACTATGGCACAGAGCTGGAAGTACAGATATACAACTCCTGTTATATAAGCCAGCAGAGGCGGGCATGAATTGTTTTGTAAGTAATATCAGTGCGAATTGTAAGCTTTAATCATTAATGTAATTGGAGTTTGTCATATTTATAATTAAGTGATTTTTTGAAGTTAAATAAAGTTAAACCACTTCACTGTGCTTCGTTGTGCCTCACTTAATCACTGAACATACAGAAAAATGTAACCCCTACAAAAAGAAACATATTTAAATTTATGTATCGGTAGCCGGACATAAATAATTAATCTCAACAAACTCTAGTGTTTATAACTAGCAACCGTTGAAGCCCAAATAACTTGAACAACCAATAAAGTAAAGTAAACAAAAAAAAACCAATAAGTGCCAAATAGCTTGAAAACTGCTATAACATTATAAAACGCCAGTCGGGAAATCCAATTAAGTTTATAATTTCTATTTGACCATTTGCATTTTATTTGACCTAATTTTCTTATAAATATTAACATCATTTTTTGCTGTCAATATAAATTCGTTTCAATTTTTTTATTGCATCTTTAATCGCATTTTTAATCGCATCAAGCAACTACATACCTACCCGGGCGAATACCTTCTAAATTATCACCAGTTTAATAAGCGTAAATATACATTTCCAGCTAAGGTTGGACAGCTTTATGGTTAATAGCTACCATAAAAATAATTTTAGGCATTTGCTACCACAACACTTTTACGGTTTTGTGGCAACGTAGAGCTGCGGCCGTTGAAAATTACTTTTCACCATTTTAAAACACGATATTGGTATTGTAATAGCTCGATTTATCTTACAATATACTGTGTGAATGTTGTCTGATTTTAAATTGGAATATACAGGGTGGAGATGAATTGTATTAAATCATAATATAGTGCATGTTGAAGACGTTTTTTTTACAATATCGGCTTCAATTTTTTGACGTCTTCCAAGATACTTACTTACTCCGTGGCGTTACAACCCTTCGTGGGTTTTAGCCGACTCGACAAGTGACAACATGCCTCCACTGTCTGTCTTGAGCAACGTCCATCTAATTCTCCACGCCCATAGTGCTTAGGTCTCCTGCTATATTATCTCGCCACCGGAGACGAGGGCGTCCGCGTGGTCTCCTTCCAGTTGAGACTTCCAATGTGCCTATTATAAATAATATTGGGTAACGCACCCAGTTATTGGCACTTTAAGGAAATGTCCCGAGAAAAATATTTTCGAGTTCTACAAGAAAAGAATCACAATTTCGGGAACTTTTATTCTGGGCTGTATGATCTCCTACCTTTCTTATAAGGCAACTGTTTTTAATAATAACGTTAGTATTTAAACGAAATTGATTTGAATTAAAAAACAGAGAAAGTGCTAGTTATTGGCACGTTACCTGCAGTTATTATCATTAACATGGCTGTAGTCATTAGCACCTACCTGCAGTAATTGTCACACGTCTTGCTGCAGTTAATGGCATCACTTTCATAGTAATGGAATGAAACAATAAGAGCTCTAATCATTTTAAGTGAATGTTTACTAGGCATTGTATACTAGGCAAGTGAATGTAATTGAACTAGGCATTTCTTTAGCATACTTTTTATAAATAATAAGGTGTGTATAAATCTTTGTTCAGCAGCCATTTGTAATGGTACATTCTCATACAGTTCTGGCCATGTTCTGGCACTTAATTCCAAAATTTACTACTGTTGGATTTTTCGTACATATAAAACACAATCCCTTATTACGAATGATATTATCCTTAGGAAGGCGCATTGGGATTGTGCACATTCCCTCGTTGCTTAAATTATTTGAGCTTGGAGAACTCAGCTGGGTTGATATAACGGATTTTTGGTCATCGGAGCTTCGTTTTTCTTTAAAAATTCTGTTAAGTTGTTGACGTGTTTTGGTTTTTTTGGCCTCTTTGTTACTTTGATCATTTTGTTCATTTCACGCTTTTTCCTATTTTCTTCTTTCTTCATGTCTTTCTGTAGCTTAACTTCTTCCTTTTCTTCATGCATTTTTTTTCCATCCACTAGATGTTATCTCGTATGATATTTTTCCGTTGTACGCTGAGCCTTTCGCTCTGGTGGCAGTTGCCATACAAACGCGTAATCAGCAGCTTCCACGATAGAATCACAATTGTTTGGCGTGTTAAATTGAATGAGGCACTGTCTTTCTTGACTTTTTCGTCATCTACATACGGTAGTCCTTGATCAATATTTTGTTGATTTTCTGTTTTGTTTTTGTTTTGTTGAAATCCTAAATTTTCTAAAATCGTACCACTAAGCTGGTTGTCTTCTGATTTTGGTTTCGTTTATAGTGTGGCTTATGATTTCAGATTGCTCTTGGAGCAATCTCCGAAAACTATTTCCATCTCTTCAATACTTTCTTGAATAAAATACGGTACAGGCAGATTACACTTTTCAAAACGCCTCTCTTCATTTTGATGTGACTCACACTCTTCACCATCAAACAACACAGTAACAAGGGAATCATCTGCACTAGAACTGCTTAATTCAGCAGCTTCCCCTTTTGCAAATCTTAAAAATATTTGCAAAAAAAGTCAATGGATTAGACATTCCAGGGATACAATCCGCAAACTTTAAAACCGTTACAAATTGATGGACTCTTTAGTGACCTTAAGTAATCTTCTAATATTGGTGCAAAATAAGTTTTGGTTATTCCGATAAAGGGATTATTTCTTCGCTATTTCAGAACTGAACGTTTCCAGGGATTTTTTTATAGATTTAAAGCAGCTAACATATGCTGGTTGAAGGATTCTGTTAGCATTTGGATATAATGCAATGAGTATTATTTGAAACCTCGTAAAAGGACTACTTAGTTCATAGCACATGTGAGTTTTGTGACCATCTACAAAAAGAATGACGGGAAAGTGTATTTTGTTTTTGTAAAGAGGGAATGCAGTATATTTGAAATATAGTCTACAAATTATTCAGATTTTATCCAGCCATTGTCGTTTGTTCCAATTCCCCACGCATCAGGAAAACTTTTACCAATAGCAGCAGGAAGCCTCTTATAGGGGTAAATGATCATCGGAGGAGTTACTGAGCCAGCAGCTGAGAAGGTGAACATCACAGTAGTATTGGTCTTTGCTATTCCTTGATCCATCTGGTAAATATTTTTAGTACCGCGAGGAGCAACAACTTTATCCTCCTTAGGACAATAGAGAAAACAAGTTTCGTTCCTGTTGAACACTCTTATTGCATACACTCATAACACAAAACTATTTTTTTCCTTTAAATAATTTTCGATGTTGGAAAACCAATTTTTAATGTCCTTCTCAGAAACGCAGCTGCTTGCTTTAGTTACCGCTTCTGGAGTTCTTAGGATCAAGTTTGGATGACGCTTAAAGAAGAACACTTTATACCAGTGTCTTCCAGGTTGGTTGTCCTTTAATGGAAGTCTTACGTGAATTGGCGTTCAAAAAAGTTTTCACCGAAGACTACATATCGTCCCTTTTTCTATGGAAACCTTTCCTATGGCAGTCAGTAATCCAATCCTCCAACACATCTTCCTCATGTTTCGCTAAGTCCGTTGCAGACTCGTGGCCATTTTTTTTTAAATTTGTCACTCTGTATATCTTTTCTGATATTTTGTATCTTTTTTGGCATTGTAAACAATCTAAAAAAACAGTGGAATGTTCACTTATGGTAAGAGTATAGTAGTATAGTAAGTAAGTTGTTATTCCAAGTAATTTGTTACAAAAACACTAGATTTTTTTTTCTAGATAAATTATACAGTTCTGTCGCAAAACTATTGAAATGCGGTGCAATCCGTTTACAGAATTAGTAATTTTTCATTTCTCTGCGTCGGTTAAAGAACACCCTTTTCGTTTATCAGCAATTTTTTATTTTTATTTTACATTAGAAGGGAAGTAAGGAAAATTGAATCGAAACCTGAGATTCGTGTATCACAAACACGGAATAAATAAACAATGCATCTTTGGAATAATTTAAATCATGATTTTTTTTGCTGAAACGGATTCTCGAAAATATTAATACATTATTTTTGTTTTCAGGATTGCCACGGTGTGCCTACTAGCCAAGGAAGCGCACCTGTCAGAGATGAAATCGACAATTATACATTGATGAGGGGCCTCCAAAATGATACACACACGGTCATTGAGTTTCGAAGAGCTTTCGACACCTGCGACCCAGACGATTACGTTTTATCAGTAAGTTTTTATTCAGCTATTAATAGCCCATTGTAGGATCACTACGTTTATTACGTAGTTATTAAAACTCACATTTTTACATACATTTAAAATTAGCAGAATATATTAATAGTAGGTTGCCAGTCAAAGAATGGCCGCAACTATTTTTAATTCAATTAATAGTAATTAATTTTTAACAAAAATTTAATTCCATTCATTTATTTTTTAGGCTGATACTGTACGAATAATATGGGCCCTTCATGAATATGATCCCCAACGAGGAGCAGAAATGGTATACCATGGTGAAAACAGAGGTTACCAAAGTGCTCATTTACTAGGTCCACCTCCTGTAGCAAAAATGAGTATTGGTCATTCCAGTCATTGGGATGTCGTTTTTGATGATGTAAGTATTACTATCAGTATAATATGACTAATATATTATGACTATAATGTTTTCGTTCTTCTCTGCAATACACATTTTTTAATTTTTAGTTCAAGATTACTAAAGAAGTAAGCACCATGTACTGGTGCAAAGTGTTCAAAGCTCCAACATTAAATTCAAAACACCACATAGTTGGATTTGAGCCTATAATTGGAGATAAACATTCAAATCTGGTACACCATATGGTTATGCATGAATGTGAATTGGATGTTAATGAAGATGTCGCCATATGGGAACAATTTTCTAAAGAAAAGGGAAAACCTTGCTATTCTAACACGGCATCTTTATGGGATAAGTGTTTAACACCTCTAGTTGCTTGGGCCATTGGATCAAAAGGTAATAAATGAATATATGTACAACTGTATTTAAAAAATTTGATCTCTAATCGTATGTCTATATTGTCTATATTTTTCTGCCTATAAGATATCAGTGGTATTAGTAAATTATTGATCTTGAAATTGATGAGAATCACTAGCAGATTAGAACCTTACTGCATTCAAACACAAATCATCATCATCAGTGGTGCTACAGCTCTAGTTGAGCCTTGACCTTCCCCAGTCTATTTCGCCAGTTGTTTCTGTTCATCGCCAACCGTTGCCAATTTGCCGCGCCGATTTTCCTTGCGTCCTCGTCCACACCGTCCCTCCATCTCAGTCGTGGTCTGCCTCTACTCCTATTTCCCACTGGGACCGATAATAGAGTTCGTCTGGGTGGGTAATTTTCATTTGCTCTTGACACATGTCCAGCCCATCTAAGCCTACCTATTTTTATGAAGGATATTACATCTCTACCATTTACTATTTTTTTATACTTTTCGTACAATTCGAAATTATATCGCCTTCTCCAAATACCATTCTCACAGAATGAGCCCATTATTCTTCTTAGTATCTTTCTTTCGAAGACGAGCAGAAGATTTGCGTCTGTTTTGGAGATGGTCCATGTTTCTGACCCATATGTCAGCACTGGTAGGATGAGTGTTCGATATATTATTAGTTTGGTTTTCTGGCTTAAATTTCTGTTTTTTAGCTGCTTGCTTAGTCCAAAATAACATTTGTTTGCTAGCAGTACCCTCCGTTTAACTTCTTCAGATGTGTCATTATCGTTTGTTATGAGAGAACCCAAATATGTAAACTTATTTAGTACCTCAAAATTATATTGGTCTATACTGAAGTTTTGTTCGGCGTTTCTAGCTCTATATCTGTTATTTGGAATAGATGCTAACATTTTGGTTTTTTCCTCGTTTATTTTAAGGCCCATATTTTGTGCGGCTGTCAAGAAGGTGGAAGTCATCTCTTTAAGTCCTCGTGTAGTACGTGCGATCAAATCCAGATCGTCAGCGTAAGCCATAATCTGCGTTGATTTATTAAAGATTGTTCCCCTCTTGTGTAACTCGGCATCTCTTATAGTCTTTTCTAACGCTATATTAAAGAGAAGGCACTTAAGCGCGTCTCCCTGCCGTAACCCTGCATATGTTTCAAACGCTTGTGACATATCGCCTTGTATTTGCACTCTGCAGATCACTTTACTCATAGTTGTTTTTACGAGCCTTATTAATTTATGGGGAATGTTAAGTTCATTCATGGCTTCGTATAATTTACCTCTTAGGACGCTATCATACGCTGACTTCAAACATTCAAACACAAATGAATTCCCTTAATTTGTAATCTCACATTAATCTTAAATTACCAGATACCTTTAGAATATTTTACCAATGTAATGGTAACATCTATATTTTAATTCGAGGATATTTAACTTCCGGTAGAATTACATCAATTGCTAAATTCTGTTGCATTAATTTCTAGTTCGAATTATATTTATGTAAGCTACTAGATATAAAGGTACATTACGAGGTACAAGACAATGGTCTTTTTGAAGTTACGTCGAGTATACTTATTTATTAACTATAAATAAATAATTTACTCTACGACTTCGAATTATCACATCGTCGATTGATGGTCAAAACCTATTGATAGTCTAACTTTCTTCTTCTTCATGTATTTTTATTTATCTTTTTCTGCCACTTAAAAATTTATTTCAGATAATTTATTTCCACTTTAATGAGGAATATAACAATTTTTCTAATTTCATATTCATGACTAAGTATATTTCATTTTAGGCGAAAATTTCCCAAACCATGTCGGTGTACCTTTAGCAGAAAAGAAACATTCATTCTATATGCTGGAGGTTCACTTCGATAATCCAAAAAAGAAGAGTGGTCTGGATACTTCGGGTTTAAGGCTACATTACACTAGCGAGCTAAGAGAAAACGAAGCTGGTATCTTGATAACTGGTGTAGCGCCATCTACCTTACACTTTATTCCTCCTTATCAAAAAGAATATAAGACTGCTGGATACTGCAGCATTGATTGCACTAAAGAGGTAAGCACAAACTCATAGAGATAGTACCATAGATAAATAATATAATGGTGAAAAGATAGTACTTTATTGTCTTAGTACTGGAGTACGTTAAAAATACATATACAAATATACATTCGCTCATTCGCAATATACATCCGGAACATTTTGACAGATGTTCAATATGTATTAAAAAAATATATTTGTTGTTATAATTTAACACATTGTAGTAAATATTTGTATTATTCACTCTGTTTATTTTATTTAGTATAGTTCTATTGAAATATAAATAATTTAAATTAACTTTAAACTTCTTTACATATGGAGGAAGTTTTCAACATTGTCGAATTTTATTGAGCATAAATTATTATTGGACACAAATCTGTCTAGCATAACTGCGTAAATTGTTGGAAAATTACTATTATTTGCTTTGCTAATTTTTTTTCCAAAATTATACTTATTTTTTAAGATTTTTAAGATTTCGGAAAAAACCGAAGTTTATGTTGGTTCTATCCATAGACAAGGAAAGAGAGGAGACTGCTGGTATGGAATTGACTGAAGCCTAAACCAGCACCAGAAAGGTTGGCAGGTCATATTATATTTCTTCAGTAGATCGAGAGTAATGGATATCTTTATCAATAAATATATTTTTTCAAAATTTATAATTGAACACTGATAATGATCAGTTTTTGAACATAATTTTGTCATTACATATTTTTTAGTAGATCGATATAGTGTTGATCGATATAGATCGAAGTTGAAATCAGTAGACCTACTGAAAAATCAGTAGACCTGGTAACACTAGGTAGTAATGGGCAACCTATAGGCACCAAAACATGGCGGTCACATCGAAACTGGCTTCACTTTGCGAAAGTTTATTAAATGAGCGTTACCTGTCCTCTCTCTTTCCTTGTCCAAGGTTCTATCATACAAAAATATTGTCTTAACTTTTCTGATTGACTGACTGAAAAAAATTGTTTCCAGGTTATTCCAAAAGAAGGAATTAATGTGGTATCAGTCATGCTACACTCTCATTTGGCAGCTAAGAAGTTAAAATTAAGGCATATCCGAGCCATGAAGGAACTAACACCATTGGCTGAGGTAAATATATATTTATTCATTTAAAACCAAACGGCAAGTTTAGCGGTTACGTTGGCAAAATTTTGTCTGTTTTCAGCTGTCTGGATAAGTACTTCAAAGCACTCAATAATGACATTGCTGTTGACACTTGATAATGACAAAATGAGACAAAATCAAGACAATATGAAAGGTTTACACAACATTTTTAATTTTAATGCAAAAAGCATCTATGATACATTTTATAAAGATGTAATATAACAAAGTAAGATATGGGATAGAGCACCGAACTTTAATATTTTATGATTAGAGTAATTAAGACATTTTTATTCTTCGCATACCATATAGAAACGTATGAATTTATATTTCTTCAACACAGACGGTGACGGTATCTGCTTTTTATCCTTTCGTTCATCCTGTGCAGTTTCTAAGCAATGTAATATTTTTCTGAAACAATTTTCTCGCGGCATTCTAATATTATCTAGTATCTTTAGTGGTAATTGACTAGAATTTTAGTTGAAAACTTATTTATTTTGACGTTTCGATTTCCACATCTGAAATCGTTCACAAAATACAAACTAAACTGTCATCGTCATAAAGAAAGATCAGTTCCCCGGTTCTTGATTCTAATGCTTTGCAAAGGACTCTTCGATCGTCTTAGATGAAGGATCCTGTATGCCGTTTATTATCAATCCATCTATCGGTGGATTGTGAATTTTATATTTATAGATAATCTACAGAGAGACAATTTATTCTTACATTTATAATAAAACACAATTTTGTAGAATAGCAAAATAGCTTCAGGGTCTACGATGAACTTGAAGTGGAACAAGAACAAAGCCCGAGCTAGAGATCTCCCATTTATTTTTTTATCGTATACCCACTTGACACATTTACATTAAAATTTACATAATATATTTTGTATAAAATATAATACATATGTTTACAAACGAACATCTAACTTATTTATAAAGTCTATCGACTCTGGAGTCGCCATTAGCTAATCCTCTGACCTGCCATGATAGGATCTTGTGGGACACTGTTCTTTGATGTGGCAGATAGTTTGTGGTTGTCTGCAGTAACAGAGTGGGGATGGTCGTTTAGTACCATGTCGTTCTTAATTTGGCGTCTATAAAATAAGTGACCGTCTATAAAACACTAATAAGAGCAATGCTAACATATGGAGCATTCACGTGGGCACTTATATAGAGATATCAAGAACCGCTTAAACGTTTCGAGCGAAAAATTCCAAGAAGAATATATGGAGGAATAAAAGAACAAGATTTGTGGAGCAGGCCTTTCATTTTTAAGCTGTATAAGAGTTTAGGGGAACCTGGCGTGGTAAAATTCATTCAGTACGCTTTAGTTGAGATGGGGCATTTAATTAGGTTAGAAGAAGGTGCAACAGCCAGAAAAGTTTTTAACCGAAAACACCCCTTGGGACAACGAGTCAGAGGAAGAACGGGGCTTAGGTATTAAGACAACTTGGACGACGATTTAAAATCTATTGGTATTAGAGTGTGAAAATTGTTGCCAGAGATAGTGGTGGATGGAGGATTGTTCTAAAGAAGGCTTTGGCTCATAACTAGCTGTGATGCCAATGATGATGATGATATACTTATAATTTATCTTTGTAGTTCACATTTTGTAGTTACCTTATTCACGCTTTTAGGAAAAGTTTAAAGATCTTCGGTATCTGCCTATAATCGCTATCATCTGCTTTTCTAATTATTAAAAAATCTATTTCCTTTTTTGCCTGATATTAAGTAAAATGATTTTTATGACACTATTCTTATATATAAGACCCCCATTAATCATGATATATTTTAGGATAACCGATATGATTTCAACTACCAACAATCACGTTCTTTATCACAAGATATACCGATACTTCCAGGAGATGGTCTAATAACGGAGTGCACTTACTCGACATTAAACCGAAGCAAACCAACTTTAGGAGGCTATTCGACCCAGGATGAGATGTGTTTGGCGTTTGTGTTACATTATCCCAGGACCCAGCTTGCTGGTTGCTACTCAATGCCTCCTGTTAAATATTTCTTCGAAAATCTAGGAATCAAAGAGTTTTATGGTAAAGATATGAACCAAATTGAGAAAGCGTTACTAGAGGGAAGAATCGATGGGGAGCCCTCCACATCTACGTTGAATCCATTTATAACTAAGCCAGGCGATGAATTGTCGTCAGAAGCCAACCATTTGGCTATAGTTGCTCTCAAGAATGCTAAAGATTATGTAATTGAAGGTTATCAAGATGAGTGGCACGCTGTATTTGATAAGCTAGTTATAAAAGAACCTCAAGAATTTAGAAATTTGACTTTTACGGAACATTTGCATAATATGCCCTATAACGAGACGATTTTTACCAAAACCATGGAAAAATATTTCTACGAAGGATTGCACTTGACTTTCTGCAGGAAGAGGGACGACACTCTAGCTATTGTGAGTATTATCAAATTATTTTAATTAAAATAAATAAATTTATATAATTAGTCAAATAATTGAAAAAATTTGTTGCTACTTTTGACTATGCTGTCTGTTTATCAAACCTGTCTGGATCAGTACAATTTTCTAAAATAAATGCAACACGCTGCTCATTTCCTTGTATTTCTACGTTCGACAAAAAATTATAAACGTCGTTAGAAACAGATTCTCCAGAAGAAATTTTGTATGAATGTTCTTTGGATAAGTCAGTAGAAAACGGGTTTATACACTGCTTTATTATATCTAATAAAGCCACAATTTTTTTTGGTTTTTTATTATCACAGATTGCTTCAAATCATTATACAATCTAGTGAACGTAAATTTACGAAATCCAATCATTTTGAAATGAAACTTGAAATTTCGAAAAGAATAATTGATAGCCCATTTTTCTTTCCGACTGAATGAGTCTGTGATTTCTTTTACGCCCGATGTTGAAGCTGCATCTGCGTTGATAGTTTGTTCTAAAGGAATGTCAGTTGGGATTCGACTAAATAGTTTTGGAGTTCTGCGAATGCCAAGCATTGTACTCAGAGCATCTAGTAACAAACCTGGATGCGTAATATTAATATCTTCTAATTTATCAAGATAAATACATCCATATCTACAATAATTAGGATGATTCATAATAAAAAAGATATTAATCATCTTTTGCAATGTACAATCGATTGGCTGCACATATATATTAAAAATACTTGAGCAGTTTTGCCATGTTTACTCCAGAGTAACTTTTTTCCAAGAGTGATATTTCTCTATTTTTCTCTATTTTCTAAAAAATGTTTTTGTTGAGATTTTACACTATATACCCCCTTTTGAGTGTCAGACAAGTTATGAAATGTATTCAACATTTAGTTAAAAAAAATGTTATTAATCATTTTAGAGATGGCGTGAAAAGGGCACGAAAAAATTAGCTGGTTATTAATCATTTTTGCACTGACCGTTTTTCGGTCATGTTTGGGGGTGGGGGGTGGACACCCTTACCGTCCCATCTATGGCGTCAGAGAATATTATTTCCTTTTATTATTCACGGAAATCAAACCATTCAATAAATATGGCAAGAGTGTGTATCATTTTTGCACATGTTGTGAAACGGTCATGTTTCGGAAAATATAGGGGGAGAACGCCCTCAACCAAAGTCACAGAGGAAAACTGTGGCGGACTTGGTCTAAGGAAGCCGTACAAGAAGTTTCAAGAGATTATAATTCTCAAAAATTTTCCGGCGGGCACTCTAACTATTCAAAACCCTGTATAAGATTTTTATGTAAAATAAATGATTTTTTCACGGATAGACTGGTGCATTATTATGTCTATTCCCTACTTTAACTCTTTATTTTCTAAAATATTTAACCAATTTGGTAATTATTTTTCAGAATGAACTTATCGTGAAGCTTCCAGAATTTCAGCAGTATGAGAGGAGGGAAAATATCCAATGTAGTTACAGATCTAAGACGTCGTACACAACCCAGGACAATGGAGCGTTTTCGTCGTCTGAAAAAATGTGGATAATGACAAGACCTACCTTGACTTATTATTCGCTGTTGGTGTTACTATTAGCAACTGGTTTTATGTAAATTTTTAAACGGTTTGCCTTGTTTTAAGCACTCAAAAGCAAACATAAATCTTTTATTAGTAAAAAAAATAGCATTATCAGAACGTAGCTATATTTCCGGATCTAAATTAATGATGTATACAGTATAGAGGCCGTTTGATATTTTGTTTTGTTTATAGTGTTTGGCTAAACTTCTGCATATTGGATATATTTTCTTATTATGTTTTCAGCTCTTTCTGCTTCTTCGGAAAATTCGTTTTATAAACTGTTATTTTTTGTGTCATATATATTTTGATATTTTACTTCTACGCATTGGTTTATGTATTTACATGACGTTTTACTACATCTAATCGTCCTTCTTATTTTTTCCTTCCAAGTACAAATATTTTTTTAGGAAATTATGCCGTAAATTTCAATAATCTTTCGAATCTTTTTCAGCCAAGAAATTTATTTTGTATCTCTATTTCAACCTTCTAGTTTTTCTTTAAGAATAATTTGCCATACTCCGCATCAATGTTTTCAATGCAATACCTATATTTTTATTTAGGATTAGGATTTAGGAATCCTGGAACGAATTTTCAACTTTGATACTAGTCTATTCCAAAGAGAATTCCGACAGCTCTTTATTTTTGACTCTGTCTAAAAAGTAGGAGCTTTTGAAGTTGAATACTAGAGAACTCCAAAGATAGCCTCGACAACCATATAGCGTTGGCCTGGTGAGTGTCTTAGAATGATAATAAAATCTTAAATACTACAGAACTCGAAAGAAAATCCCAACATCCATACAGCGTTAGCCATAGATTAGGGGGCGTTAGCCGTTAAAAACATCATTTTCTTTTTTCTAAGGCCATTTGGTTTACTCGAGTAATATCAACTTGTGAGTCATTACACTCTCAATATGCAATAACGGTTACATTGCAAGACGGTATTTTGTGGATCAACTTCGTCTTCTTCACTATGGATCTAACTCACTACATGTGATATTTGGGTGTAGAAGTTGGTCCGTACATTCACTGGTATTAAACCGTTGGTATAAAGAAGACTAGCAAAATATTTTTAATCAGTACCTCATTGCCCCCTCAAAGAAATGTATAAACAATCCCACTCCCGCGTGCTGAAGTCTGTAGTTCCTACTACCGTCCATTTTAAAGATATGTCAGCATGCGGGGAAACCGTATGTCACTATTCTAGCGATTACTTTGTTTTTTTTTATAAACTTTTTCCACCCCCGTGCTGGGGCGGTAACCACCCCAGAGGAGAAGCACACATTGCCATAGGGTAGATTTAGATCTTTGAACTATATTTTAACTACTGTCAATATTTCAAGCAAATCGATGTATATAAAAAAAAATTTACTGTCATATCCTGGACAATTATTCAATTTCCCCTTTTTGGAATCTGTATCAATGATGTTTAACTGCTTCTATAAAGTACAACTAACCAAGAAAATTATACAATAAAAGGACATTTTTACCACACATGATTTATTATAATTTTCGGAATCTATGTTTGCTTTGGTGCATGAATATCTTTCAGGGGGACTTCGTACTTATTTTACACAAACTCCCAAAAGTTTTGGCATAAATACATCTATTTTCTGAAAACTGTCTTCAAAATTTAAACAAATATATAAAGAGGCAAATGAATTTTTGAGAAAACAATTTATTGTTGTAACAAAGACATAACTTAATAGTCGCTCCTTCTTTTAATCAATGGCTCATTACATCGTGTCATTCTAAAATTACGTTATCAATAAAATATTGGAGCATATTGTCCTAATATTATTAAACAATTATTGACAATTTATCTACAATGTTTGATTGTGTTTTGGGATTTAAAAATATGTTAAATCATTAATTAAAAAGCATTTAATGTTTATGTATATGTGTAAATTCACATTTTTCTAAGACTGAGAAAAAATGAACAATAAAAGTAGCAAAAATGTGACTAAAATTACTTACACTATAAAAGTATCTATTTATTGTTAGCTTTTGTATATATTTGATAAACTTTTAACGTTTGATAATTTTAATTGTATATAAGTAATCTGTACATACCGATTTTACCAAACAATTATAATATAAGAGCCCTAAATTAGGTAGTTAACCTGTGCTGTGAGTTAATCATATAAAGTGATTTGTTTCTGTAGAACTTAAGGTAATTTTATCCTGGAGTACAACTACTGTACTAGCTTATATATACTTTTTAGATTAAAAGTATGTAAATGTGAACAATTCCACCTTGTTTTCATTTAATTACCTTACTAGATATGTACTATGTGATTTATATTCCCATTAGCTATATTATCATGATTATAGTTCATCATCATCAGTCTGACTTTACAACCATGCTTAGGTCCTAGTCTCCTCAAAAATGACTCCCTAAGTCTGACGTAGGGGCTTAAAAAACCTTTCCAAACAATTCTATTTTGTGTGTATTTGTCCCTTTTTGGGGACAACATCACTAGCAATTAAAAAAGAATAAAACATTAATTTAAATATTTTTAACTTCGTAAGTAAATTCAATGATTTATTGATTAGTTTTGAAATAACCCCGATAAAACAATAACAAAATACCTTGACATATTGTAAAAAAATAAATAAAGTTTTAATTAAACAATTGCATAACCTTATAACATGAACATTCATAGTAAATACCTTAATCCTTTGATATTCTTACCTCACAAATTCACGAACAACAAATAATACCAATCGCACAGAATGAATGTTCATAACCAAAAGTCCTTATTTATTCCACAAAACAATGTTCAAACAGTTCAAACAATTAAGAAAACAATGTTTCCAACTTCTTATGGGACAAATACACACGAATTAGACATTTTTGAAAAGGTTTTTAAAACCCCCGCCAATTATCACGTCAGAGCTTAGGTAGTCCGTTTCTCTCCAGTGTTAATCGAAAACGTAAAACTTTGGTCGATTGCTTTAATTTTAATATTAGATTGTGTGAGAAAGATTTGCAGTATTTGCTGTGATACGAAAAACTCCGTGCATTCAAAATGTTATCTTGGACGATATTTCTTGCTAGACTGATCTCGGCAGTAGATGTACTACCAAATTATACTTACGCATGCGTGAATATTCACTTTCGGCATCAGAAGCTTTTAAATTTTATCTTTTAACTTTCTTTAAATCTCCACAAGGAATCTACGTTCCTGTAGTTGGCTGTATACCATATATTACAAAAATTAGGTATTAAAAATCCTTTGTAAAAGGTATATATTAAGAACCCAAACGGGCTAAGTTAAAAAGACAAAACGTTTTCGGAATCCATATTCCATCATCAGTGTCTAAGAGTACATGAATGTAGCCACTAAATATATGGGTAAAAACCCGTTAACAAATAATTAATTACATTTAGTTTACAAATTTTCCTATAATGGTTTAGGATGTTTGGGTTTATCGTTGGATTAGGTAACATGGCGACATATGACTCCACGTTGAAGTTGCTAGTCTTGAGACAGTGTGTCTACAAAGACTGTACATGACTGTACACTGTCTCAAGACTAGCAACTTCAACGTGGAGTCATATGTCGCCATGTTACCTAATCCAACGGTAACTTTAACATCCTAAACCGTTATAGGAAAATTTGTAAACTAAATGTAATTAATTATTTGTTAACGGGTTTTTACCCATATATTTAGTGGCTACATTCATGTACTCTTAGACACTGATGATGGAATATGGATTCCGAAAACGTTTTGTCTTTTTAACTTAGCCCGTTTGGGTTCTTGATATATACCTTTTACAAAGGATTTTTAATAAATATCTTTAAATCATAATTGGTTTTTTAATTCTTAATTAAAGAAACAAATATTTCAAAGCAATTAGTTCTACAAAAGTGAATCACTCCATATGTAATTATTTATATCCGTAAGCTTAATTTATACTAAGATTTAATGTGTATATTTTGTATTACCAATATTTTTGTACCTACTGAGATTTGATTAAAATATTAAAACTATTTTTTTTTTATTATTACAACTCTTGCCCAATTTATCCGTCATTTAAAATTGTATGCCGTTCTCACATCATACCCAATCAAAACCAAGACGAATAACAGACAAATGCCTTGGTGGAACAAAAAAAATGGAAAAAATACAACAAAAATATAAGAAGAGGGCGAAGAGGAAATCTTGGAGAAGGTTCCACCAGAGTATTTCAGATATACCTTATGCCGGATCCAGACCAAGCAGACAAACGAAAACACAATTCCGAAACAAAAACACGATAAACCGGCGACAAAATTTGTCGTCAAAAGACAAAACAAAATTGAGACAAACTGTCCACACCAGAACAACAAAATATAAAAACAACAGTTGGTGACGTTGTTGTTGTGGTTAGTGTTGGTTAACCATGTGGCGTTTTAATCAAGAAAAAAATGAAACTAAAGATTTATTGCTAGCCGCAAGTTTTTTTTTTGCTCTCATCATCATCCCAGGTTGCTAAAAGAAAACCCAAACGTTTTTGGATTAGACCAAGCCTAAAAATGCGAGAAAGTTGTTCGATAGACAAATTGTTAGTTCAGCTGCGAGCAGATGATATACTAAGTGGTGAAATTCGATCAAGCTTCAAAAATTTTTTAAGAATGTCAACCGAAGATTTTGAGAATCTAATATGCCTTGTTGGCCATGCAGTTGCAAAAAGACATACTAACTTTAGAAATGCTATGAGTGTAACAGAAAGGTTAGCAATCACTTTAAGATTTTTAGCAACCGGTAATTCCTACCACAGCCTAATGTATCTTTCAAAAGTATCAAAGCAATCAATATCTGTAGTAATACCTGAAGTATGTATAGCTTTAATTAACAGTCTTAGTGGTTATGTACAGGTATGTTAAACTTTTTCATTACTATTTTTCTGTTAATATCCCTTAAAATAAACTCCATATTTATTGGTTAAATGTTTAATACAAAAGAAGTTGACGATAGGTACATACTACATGCAAAATAATGACGAGTCTACTTGTTTTTACATTCAAAAAGTTCATCATCAATTTCGTTCGTTTTCTTGATCTAAATACTGAGAAAGCTCTGTGTCAATACTAGGTGGATGTGAAAATAAAGGTTGTGTTGGTGTTTGGTGGATTTAAGTAATAGTTTTGTGGGTCAGCACTGGGTGGATTTGAGTATGAATGTTGCGTGTTGGGTGGATTTGAGTATAAATGTTCAATGCTGGATGGATTTGAGTAGGTGTGTCAATGCTGGGAGGAGTTGAGTATGAATGTTGTGTGTCAGTGCTGGGTGGATTTGAGTACAAATGTTGTGGGTTGGAGTTGGATGGAGTTGAGTGAACATTTGTATTGAGACTAAGTAACAGAAAAATACACTTAATTTTGATAAAAATTGTACATTCTATTTCTCCTACTGCTTAACTCGTTTTGGCACGCACACGCGTCCACACTGCGCTGACAACTTGTCGTCAAATACACAGACTTTTTGATCTTTAGCGATCTTACAGGGGACCTGAAAAAGTTTTCAAATTTGCAAACAAAACAAAATTGTTCAGGAATGTCTCAACAAATGTTTTCGATTTGTCGCCATTTTGTCGCGAAACATGAATGTTTTTGTTTTGTCTGTTTGGTCTGGACCCGGCATTATAGCACTAGAATAGAATATGCTTTATTGTCACTGAAAATTGTACAATTTTATGGACAAAGCTTAAAAAAAGTAAAAAAATAACAATAACAATTAAAATTTATTAAAAATATATAAATCGTCAATATCACAAAATAAAAGATAATAAACAAGTTATATACCAGAATATTCTGGAGTAGTCCATCTCTAGACTTCCCTAGATATTGAGAATATCATCGATTGTATATTCGAGATTCATCCTTCTAAGAATTGTGGCACGTACTCCGCATCGGAGATGGGCTATTTCGTTACAATATAAACAAGTTTTGTGAGACAGTGACGGTGAAATGATATTTGATATATCTGGTCACCGTCACGGTTGTGGAAGTTAGCAAGGAACGCTAGTTATCGGTGATATATAAATCACCGTGACTGAATCACCGGTAGTGAAATTGCGTCCCATTACTATTATGAAACCTTAGTGCTGTGTTGAAAAAAAAATTAAAAACTTAGTGTATGTACAATGGGTCAATCTAAAATTATAAGGTTAATAGTTAACGGGTATTAGTAAATCTAAATAAGGTCAATAAAAGAAGGATTATGTTCCATCTTATTGCGATGTTGCCATATCTAAAACAAAGTTAAGGAAACAAGTACGAAGTAAAAACATTGAAATACATAAATTCAATCAACACACTGAGGCTCTGATAAAAAGCAGATGATGGAAGAGCAGTTAATTGCAAGTTTAGTTTTTTCAACGGTGTCACGGTGCAGAATAATACATATTGGCTAACTTAAAAGTAGAGTCAACAAGGAAAATGTGTAGTGACGCAATCACCGACGACGGTAGTAAGAGAAGAAGAAATGGGATGAGTTCGAAATAGAATCTTTTCCGACAAATTAAAAGATGCAAATGTGAGGATCAGTTAGATAGGTTACTAGAAATGGTTGAAGAAGTAAACTGCGAACAGCAGAAATTTAGAAATGAGCAAGCAGTTTTATATTAAATCTTGAAAACACAACTTAAAACAAATGTCACATTTGTTTTTTCTTTACTGTGCACGTTGAAATGTATTTTCAAAACATTTTTGTGAGAAAACAGCCTAAAACAAATTTCACACATTTAAGGTTTTCTTTCAGTATGCATTCTCAAATGTCTTTTTAAATGACTTGTAGTAATAAAATGTTTAGAACAAATTTTACACTTGTAAGGTTTTTCCCCAGTGTGCACTCTCAAATGTGTTTTCAAACTACTTGTTATACTAAACTGTTTAAAACAAATTTCACACGTGTAAGGTTTTTCCCCAGTGTGCACTCTCAAATGTGTTATCAAACTACTTGCTACACTAAACTGCTTAAAACAAATTTCACACTTTTTCACAGGTTTTTCTCCAGTGTGTATTCGCAAGTGTACTTTCAAACGACCTGCGTCACTAAACCGCTTAAAACAAATTTCACACTCATACAATTTTTCTCCAGAATGTATTCTCAAATGTTTTTTCAACGGAACTATAGTAGTAAACTGCTTAAAACAAATTTCACACTTATAAGGTTTTTCCCTGGAGTGCACTCTCAAATGTCTTTTCAAATTAGTTGTAGTAACAAACTGCTTGAAACAAATTTCACACTTATAAGGTTTTTCCCCAGTGTGCACTCTCAAATGTCTTTTCAAATGAGCTGTAGTAATAAACTGCTTGAAACAAATTTCGCACTTGTAAGGTTTTTCCCCAGTGTGTGATCTTAAGTGTGTTTTAAAATGAGCTAATTTACTAAATTGTTTAAAACAAATTTCACACTTGGAAAGTTTTTCTCCAGTGTGCACTCTCAAATGTATTTTCAAACTACTTGCTAAACTAAACTGCTTAAAACAAATTCTACACTTGTGTTTTTCTCCTGTGTGCATTCTCACATGTGTGTTCAAACTACTTGCTATACTAAACTTCTTGAAACAAATTTCGCATGTATAAGGTTTTTCCCCAGTGTGTGTTCTTAAGTGTGTTTTATAATGAGATACTCTACTAAACTGTTTAAAACAAATTTCACATTTGTAATGTCTTTTTCCAGTCACAACTTTCATATTTTTGTTTAAGTTTTTTCCTTCATCATGTTGACTCATATAATTTCCTTCAGAAGATGAATGTTTAATTAGTGTCTCCATAATTTCCATTTTGGTTTCCTCTTGTAGATAACCTAGAATACAAACCAACTATAATAAATAATATGAAAAAATGCATTAAGAAATTATAGCATAATAAAATTTATGACAGCAAACGTGTCCTAAATGTATGTTTTAGAAACTTGTTTCTTTCTTCTACCTATAGGTATGCATAATAGACATCCTATTGTCTTTTAATAGGTAGGTACATGCTTCAACGCATTCAAAATAAGCACATCAACAAAAAAATCAATAATATTGTGAAACAACAATGCCTGTGAAAGTTCTGAGTCATTTTAAATCAGAATTAGGAGAATAATTGAAAATTTTTCTGTTATTAATGGTTTTGATTAGGATCTGTTATCCAGACTTTGTCGGATTTGTGAAGTGAGTGTCATCACTATCTAACAAGATAGGCATATTAAATTCATGAATTTATATTAGTAATTTAGTGTCACTATCACGGTTTTGTTATTAAACCAGTCTCATTTAGTTAAAAAGTACTTCTATGAGAAATTATTACAAAAGGTCTCATAGTTCCACAGTAAACTCTTGTGCAGCTTTCTACTTAATTCGAAAGCTACTTTGCTATGAACTATTCAAATACCTCACCACATCTGTATTATACATACTTTTTTGTTTCTGGTTAGTAATTTTACAATTTAAGTTTAGATTTTAGAAAAATTTTCTGAATAAATAATACAATTTAGATCTATTGGAAGACTTATCTGATAATTGATTAAATGATATAAATTATACATTTTTATGTTTATATTAGAGAATGTGTACTTTTTTATATCTGACAGATTTATAGATTGAAGATACCTGAAATATAAATGTCATACCATAAACATTCCATAAAGGTGAATTTAGTAAAACAAATGATTATCAAATATCAGATAAATCATTTCAACAAAACATCTTAACATTCTTTACAAACTTTTACTTTATAATTCTTATCCACACAAACTGATCAAAAAATCGTATTTAACACCACATCTATTGATCCATTAACAATTTAAAAAGACAATAACATAAGTCAACACAATACTTACATCGCAAGGACAGCAAAAATTTGCTTCATTGCCATATACAAACACAATACTTACATCGCAAGGACAGCAAAAATTTGCTTCATTGCCATATACATAGACGTATCTTTATTTATACGTCCATGGCCATATATTAAATGTTATGAGATGTAAAAAATTTCAATTTGTGAATGATAGACAAAATGTTATATGTTTTAGACATTTATGGAAGAATTTAAATCTTTCAACATTTTTAGAAGAGGTGTAAGAACTGCAATCATCAACGAAGACAAAACCAAGTACATGTTGGTTACAAAGGATCCGATAGCAAATGAGGAACGAGAAACAGTCTTTGGAAGTCATACCTTTGGACGTGTAGACTCCTTCACATACCTTTGGGTCGCTATTGACTGCTACCAATAAAACAAGCGAAGAAATCAAAAGACGAATAAATCTTACAAATAGGGCATACTATGGACTCCAAAAGCATTTCCACTCAAGAAACATTCAAAGAAGAACTAAAATTATTATATACAAAACATTGCTGAGGCCGGTCCTCACATATGGAGCAGAAACATGGACTCTCACGCAGAAAGATGAAAAACTTTTGGGAATATTTGAGCGTAAAATACTCCGCAAAATATTTGGAGCTGTAAACGACCAAGGGCAGTGGCGCAGAAGATATAATTTTGAATTGTATCAGCTCTTTGATGAGCCAGATGTCATAACGTTCATTAAAACACAGCGACTTAGATGGGCTGGACACATAATACGAATGCCAGAAAATACCATTGCTAAAAAGCTAACCACAGGAACACCTGTAGGAAAAAGAAGTAAAGGCCGACCGCGAATTAGGTGGTTAGATGGAGTAGAAACCGACTTACGAATATTAAAAATCAGAAGATGGCAACATGTTGCCAAAAACCGAACAGAATGGCGACGAATCTTAGAGCAGGCCAAGATCCACAGAGGATTGTCGAGCCAAAGATGATGATGATGTAAGAACTGCAAGAAAGCTGACTCTTAAGGTGCGTATACATATGCGCGCCGCGAACCTTGCGCCTTGTGTGCGCCGCGCGTTCGTGGCGCGTTCAATGTTCGTTGAAATTTTTCATTTTGACGAACCTTCCGCGATCCAAAGAAAACTGACGAACATTTAGTAATTGTAGATAATCATGTCTCTGTCAAGCGATAAAACTTACGCTATTTCTGTGATGAGTGGTGCTTTCTTGGTAATGGCCAGTTTGTTTCACGCCGGTAAGAAGACAACAAGGAAATTACCTTTTTTTACATTGGTCCGCATGTATATTTATTTCAGCTTCTATTTCCCTTCAGGCATCGACTTTAAGTGGTTTTTTAAAATGGTCCTTATGTTGAGGATCCCACAATAGGGATTTCCCACGGTAAGCATCAATAAGTTTGATAATATTTTCTTCTGAGCACTCCATTACTACCAAATATTTTAAGATAATATACTATTATAATACTCAGACGCGCCAAAAATCAACACACCTTCCACTAACCCGTCCAAATATGTAATGCGAACCACCAAAGTGTTCGTTGAAAAACCGACAGAAGGTGGATCGTAGTGCGCCGTATGTGCGCCGTTTGTGCGCCTCTTGCAAACACGTACTAACCTAACGAACATGCTACAAACGAACAGCGCGCGCGCCGAGCGGCGCGCATATGTATACGTACCTTAAGGGATATGAAAATGAAATACATTGTTTCCATTTCGTTAAATCCCAACTGTCTAACATTGGCTGAAAGACTTTAGCGATGACCTTTTGGTACTTAGTATAAAGTATATTTCTCTCTATCTGTCTAATATTCAACACTTCTAATGTATATACCACCAATGTATCAGAATTATTACAGAAACAATGATAATGTTGAAAATATGAGCATGAATAATACTGCAGAAGATGGGACAGAACATTGACATACTTTAGCAACCTTGAGCTGGAAAACTAAAGTTTTCTGAAAAAAGGACAAACCATTTTTCTAATCATTTTTGTTGTTTTTACTCTTTTTGAAGTTTTTTGTACTATAAATGATTCTTTTAGTATATTAATAAATCTCCTGGGTGGAGATTTATTAATATACTAAAATATATCAACATACATTGATTATAGTTTATTCGTCTTCCGGGTTTGGACCGTGTCATTTGTGAGTGACCCAAAAGTGGGTTCATCTCGACGTTTCGCTACAATTATATGTAGCTTCTTCAGGAGAAACAAAGAAAAAGAAAAAAGAAAACAAAAGAACAGGAAGATGGGTAGTTAGCAACGGTAACTCAGTTACTCAACGCAACCAGAGGCGAATACTAACTACCAAGATGGGCATTTGGTTACAGTAACTCAACTACTCAACGCAGCCAGAGGTGAAAACCAAATGCCAGGACAGGGATTCACGTCCAACAGCTCAGAACACTAACGCGTCGAGAGGCGGGGAGTGAATCCCCGCCTCTCGACCCCCGCCGTTACTGTGACCAAATGCCCATCTTGGTAGTTAGTATTCGCCTCTGGTTGCGTTGAGTAACTGAGTTACCGTTGCTAACTACCCATCTTCCTGTTCTTTTGTTTTCTTTTTTCTTTTTCTTTGTTTCTCCTGAAGAAGCTACATATAATTGTAGCGAAACGTCGAGATGAACCCACTTTTGGGTCACTCACAAATGACACGGTCCAAACCCGGAAGACGAATAAACTATAATTCTGACTCTGGCCGTGGAAGCCTACGATTTCAACATACATTGAGGTTCTACGTCGGATGGATATAACATGTGAAATTATATCCACAGTGAAACAGCGCAAGCTAGAATATATTGGACATATAATGCGAAACGATCATAGATATAACCTGCTGCAACTTATATTACAGGGAAAGTTCTACGAAAAGAGGGGACCAAGAAGAAGAATATCTTGGCTCCAGAACTTACGAAAATGGTTTTCCTTGACCACTTCAGGACTATTTCGAGCTGCTAATAAAGTTAGAATTGCCATGCTAGTAGCCACCATCCGTAACAGATAGGCAGCACAGGAAGAAGAAGTATACACTGATTTTACAATTTTTCAAGTTAAAATTTTTTTTATGTAATTAAAGTGCAAACCATGTGCATTTTTTTGGTAGATATGGGTAGAAGATCTAAGCGGTGAAACACAATTTGGTTTCAAAAGCGGACTGGGTACACGTGAAGCGACTTTTTGCTTGAATACGCTTATACAAAACTGCATCGATCAACGAAAGGATATAGTCATAGCATTCCTCGATTATGAGAAAGCGTTTGACACCGTAAAACATGACGCAATGATAAAAATGCTACACAATGCACATTAACGAGAAAGATATAAGAGTTATCCAGAATCTCTATTGGAATCAAAAAGCACGAGTGAGACTGAACAAATCAATAAAAACAGACGAATTTTAAATTTTAAGAGGGGTGCGACAGGAGTGTATTTTGTCCCCTATGCTCTTCAATCTCTATGTGGAGACCATTTTTGCAGAGGCACTGTAAGGCTCTGAGTGTGGAATAAATTTAAACGGGTTTCCGATAAATAACATTCGTTACGCCGACGACACCGCGATAATAACAGACAACGAACATAATATGCAGTTGATGTTAAATAAAATAAACACCGTAGGAAAAATATATGGCTTGAAGATAAATGCTGGAAAAACTAAATGCATGGCAATAAGAAAAAACGCACTTTTAAGAATACAACTGCAAGTAGATAATGCTTCAATCGATCAAGTGAAAACATTTAAATACTTGGGAATGATAATAAATGACCAATGGGATCCTCAACAAGAAATAAAATGCCGTACCGAACAAGCAAGACAAACTTTTATCAAATTTAAACCGCAATCTTTCCTTTAATATCCGCTACAAAATGGTTAAATGTTATATATGGTCCATTTGTAATACGGCATGGAAACATGGACGCTAAGAGTACCTTCCATTAATAAGTTGGAGGCCTTCGAAATGTGGACGTTGCGAAGAATGTTTCGCATACCATGGACAGATACGGTGAGAAACGAGGAAGTCTCAAGAAAGACAAATACTGAAAGAGAACTACTCAATTTGATCAAAGTACGAAAAATTGGATACCTCGGCCATATTCTGAGAGGGAAAAAATACGCAATCCCTCAACTAATCATCCAGGACTATAAGAAGAAATGGATATAAGGAGGGGTTGCGAAAGCAGTAGCAGTTATTTTTTAACTGCTATTTCACTGAAGCTGCTTCACACTGTTACACCATTTTCAGAATAACTGCTTCATACTCTCAAGTTGAGTTTGTGAGTCTACGAATGTTACCGGATCGACTGAGAAATTCGCCTATTTGTGCGACGAGCATTATGTACTTGTATAATACAGTTTCATAATCCCAACTGTTACTACAGTAATTGTGGGAGTAGTACAAATAGGCAACAACCAGTACAAAGGTAATTTTGGTTGCACACCCAAAATAACAGTAGCAGTTTGGATTTTGAAACTGCTCTGAGAACAACTTTGATATTCTTGCGAAGTTGCCCGCTGTAGCAGTAGCTGCTATAATAGAACATTGGCCATGGGAATATCCAAGTCAGTCTGTCATTGTTGATGTTACGTTGGAGTAATTAATGTCATCATCATCAATGGTGCTACAGCCCTATGAAAGAGCCTCGACCTTCCCAAATCTATTAGGCCAGGCAGTTCTATCCATTGCCAACCGTTGCCAGTTTGCTGCGCCTATCTTTCTAGCATCCTCATCTACACCATCCTTCCATCTGAGTTTTGGCCTACCCCTTTTTCTGCTTCCCACGGGTTGTGACATAAGGATTCTTCTAGGAGGGTTGTTCTGCTGTGATCTTGCTAGATGTCCTGCCCATCTTAATCTTCCTATTCTTATAAAAGATACTACGTCTTTACCACCAAATATTTGTTTATATCTGTGGTATACCTCGTATTTGTATCTCCTCCTCCAAACACCATTTTCACAGATGCCACCAAATATTCCTCTCAGGATCCTTCGTTCAAATATAAGCAAAAGGTCTTTGTCTGCCTTGGAGATGGTCCATGTCTCCGATCCATATGTCAACACTGGCTGTATAAGGGTTTTGTATATAGTTATTTTTGTTTTTTGGCTTAAGTGGAGTAATTAATGTAAAGGTTAATAAAAACTGCCAAAATTAAAGGTGATAAATTATTATTATTGTAAATGATTTATCAAACAAAAAAAAACAATTATTTTTATAGATACATAGTAGGGAATAACAAAAAATAAACAATTGTGTCCAAAAACTAATGTATAATTTACAAAAACACAAAAAAATGCAAACTTAAAAATTGAAGTTTCAGTATCAATTAAACAACAAAAACTAAGTTTTCTTAAGAATTACTTCTAATAAACATGATTTGATATAAACTTTTTCGTCAGAAAGTCTGCTTCGTTTGGCTGATAAAATTTCGCCAGTTTTAGAAAACAGTCTCTCTCATGGCAAGATGTGGACACTGTTCCAAATTTGTTACATACAATTATATTTAAATTTTGATAATTGTGCCAATTGTCTTTTCACCAACTCAGTGGGTTGTTTTTACGGTTTAGAGGTTCTTCAATATATCTTTGCACCTCCATTATTGCTTTAGAGCGACTGTTCCCACCAGCAGGTTTAAAATGGGAGGCTTGCTTGTCAAAGTCTCCCCAGATTGCCTAGTACCGCAATAGAAGTTCTAACTTTTTCTTTGAGGTTAACAATTCTCTCCAGCATATAATAAACGAGTTCCATCGTGTAGGAACAACCTGAATTAATTTTTTGGGATCTTCGCTGTTTTCCTTCCGATACCAATCAAGCTTCTCTTTGGCTAAATTACTTTGCTTGAATATACTAATGACAAGTTTAACCTTTTCAATTACACTCTAGATTGATTTTAGACTATCTTGAGCTATTAAATTAATAGTGTAAGCTATTAAATAACCTAAATGTTTTAATTTTAACACTACTAAAATCTTTTTTTTACATTTGCAGCATTGTCACTAATACTTATAAAAATTTTATTTTGTAAATCCCATTCAGTTATAACACGTCATAGTTCATTTGCTAAGTTAACATTCATATGAGATCCCTCGAACAGAAAAACTTCCAAAAGGATTGACTTTAGTTCGAACTTATCATTTATTTATAAAATGAGCTGTAACTCTCATAAAACTATCACTATTCCGTGATGATCTCATATCAGTAGTTATTGTTACCAATTCGGAGGTTGCCATAATTTCTTTAGTTTTATTTAGAGTCTCTAAATATTTGGCAGGAAGTAAAGTCTTAGTGTTTTCCTACTGGGCAAAGTATAACCTACAGCGTCATAAAATTCTCTAAAACCCTCATCTTTTACTAGAGAGAAAGGTTGAATGTCTTTAACAATTAAGTTCAAAAGTTTGGTGTCAATAAATTTTTGACACTTGAAGTTGGAGCAAAAGGGGCTTGGGGAAACAAGCGCCACTGGTACTTGGAATTTCAGTATCAGATATTTTTTTAACACCACCAGTTTCGTCATTGTCAATAGGTATGGTATCTTGATCTTTGGTTCTACATTGAACTGTTGTATTGGATTCATTAAATGTGATAGATAGATGTTTCCTTTGCACATGTTGACGCAAGTTAGTGATACTTGTTTTGTATAATAATATTTGACTACACATATTACACTTCGCTTGAGCATCATCTTTGACAGTAAAAACATCCCAAACTATGGAAGTTTTCTCATATTTTGTTCAAAATCTAAAAATAATTTATAAACAATAATATGACAATATTTAAAAATAAAATGCATGTAAAGGTAAATGGTAGCACTGATCTCAACATAATAATTTAAGCATCACTTCCACCCCTTCCCTTTATTCTTAAACTGCTACTTATTTTTTCATTACTACTATTTTCAAATCCTATCTTCACTGGGACCAAATGTGAATAACATCTAAATATATTTATTAATAGTATAATTAAAATTATTTTTAATACATATTTGGTATTTCAGGATTTGATTAAAACCTTTATAGTTGATTTTCTCAAAAAGTTTTGTGGCATTGTTGCTCTAAGGTCTTCAATTTCTTGTATAAATTGAATGAATCGCTGTAATATTTCAATAAAATGGTAGATTATATCTCCAATAATTCAAAAATTCATTGTTGGACCATGGAGTTGAACATTAAAAATAATTGCTGACATAAAACAATCCTCGAATTTTATAATGAACTTAATATTCCTAAATATACAGTGTGAAATTAGAGTTATTTAATAGAATTATGTCTAGTCCACATACTACTAAAGGGTTAAAATTTTAGCATTAAGTATATATTTTGAAATCGATTTTGTTTTATGTTGATTACCGAATCTAGACTTAGCACAGCAGTATAATGGGTTAATAATGAACTTCCTATTAAAAATAAACACATAATTATTTGGGTATCCTCTTATTGTAATAATGAATATTAACATATTTATTTACCTTCTTTATTTGTTGTTTGCTTTTCTTTAAATTGTGTAAATTTATGTTCATCTTTAGTATTTACAGAGGAAACATTCGAGTCTAAATAATCAAATGTGTCATATGCAGTTTCTCTCTTAGGTTCTTCTGTAATTTCAATTTTGAAGTGTTCCAAAGAATCATCACACTCCTCACTATCTGTTTTTATTTTACAAGTTTTGTCGCTAGCTTCTTGTTTTATTTCCATATTTGATTTCATTTGCAAATTTCAGTTTTATGTTTAATAACAAAAAATCATTTTATACCATACTTAGAATTATTTTTTGCCATCTCGTCGACCTTGCGTCCCTCGCCAAAGGGCCAATTTTTTTATGTACAATATTGAGTTATTGAGATAATGATGAGAGGCAAACACTTCAGATTGCAGTTTCAGTCAGAAATGTTCAGAACAGATAGAAATAGAAAACAAACGTCACAATCATCAGCTGACAAACAGTGGACAAACATAACAAAATATTTCGCCATATTGAAATATTCTGCGCATGCTAGTCACGCCACCGAACGTCATGCTACACAACTTGTGCTCAGTGACGGTGCCTGATATAGGGGGTACACAAATATTAAGATAAACATGGATAAAGTCACCCAAAGAAAAAACACGTAATTTGAGGACGTCATAAGATCGCTTATAGTATTATATTACTTTAAAATAGTATATATACTACATCGTTGCTTAGAACAAACATTTTTGGAAAACTTAAGTAAAAAAATAGGAACGCCGTATAAAGTTTCGCTTTTTGGTCCTTCATTGTAAAAGTCATATTACTACATTGAATACAATTTGTAAATATTATGACATTTGCAAATTGATCTACGGGAAAAAAATTAAAAGCTTTTATTATTCATTATGATTATGGGGTGTTAATGGAATAGTGATGTACAAGTTATAGGCTCTTATATAAAACTGTCAACTTCTCCCTCTATCCAGAATAGACTTGGTAATGCTAAAATTAGCATTAGATTAAAAAAATAAAGACAAAAAACCAGGAAAAAATGGGTATTCACAAATTAAAAGTTGAAAACATATATCAAAAAACAAAAGAACAGATTAATTACAACTAACTAGTTACAAATCGAAGCAAACGACGATAACAGATGAACAATGGGATAAAATGCAACAAATTTAAAACCAATAAAAACAGCGAACAATAAATGATGACAGATGAAGCATTGACCTAATGGAGATTAGAAGAGAATATAAAAATCAAGATAAAAATATAACAATAAATAAAGAAATAAAAAACAAAATAAGAGAAGCAAAAAATGAAACTGTAAAGAAAAATGTAAGGAAATGGAGGTATATGAGAGGAAATATACGATAACTTTAACGTACAGAAATAAATATCATAAATAACTGGAATATAGGGAAAAACCAAGAGGTCAATACCATACGCATGATTCAAATAAAAATATAATAACTGATACCAATTAAAAATTAAACGGATGATTGGTCAGAAGATCAAAACGAGAAAACATAAAGGACCAGAAATCTTACATTCGGAAGAAGTATGTTTCTATATTCTTTGGTAAGACTGTCGCAAGCACGAAGTAGCGTAACCTAGATATATAAAAAACTTCGATTAACGAAACCAGTTTCTTTAATCTAAGATAAAAACATATAAGCTTATTCTAATCTCTAAAATGCGACGATTACATAAACATATTTTGAAATATTTGATGATATTATAATATTTAAGATAGAACACAAATAAATTCGCCGCAAATACTTCCTTCTTTGAGGTTAAATATTTATTAATCTGTTTAATAAAGATTAGAATCTTAATAAACTCATCATATCATAATATTCATTTGATTTGAAGCATCTGAATAATCTACTTACATGTTGTGTTGTTGATTTGCTTGTGGTTGTGGCCCTCTCGGCGGGCCTGGATATTCCAAATATATAAATTGAAATTGCTCTTATAGACGTTAAATCGATTTTATATTATACAATTTTCATGTTATGCAAGACAGATTATTCAACTGCGCATATCCACACGATATTTGCATTCAATATCTGGGCTAAACGAAAAATTGGAACAAAAAAAATTCTAATTTTTAATGCAATTTATTGTCAAAATTCATGTTGCCATTATAACAAAATTTATAGGTAGTTTAGAATAAAACAAGCTTATTGTGTAAGTGTAAATGTTTTTTATTCGATGTAATAATTGGTGATTTACATTTGAATATATTTAATGCTGGACTAAAATTTACAAATTTAAAATTAATTGAAAATGGTATCTCAAAATTGCACAAAAATAGCTCCGATATAAACAGATCAGGTTAGTCCAGAGATATGCCATGCAAGACGGACTTGCATGGCCTAGATGTAAAGCTATTTTTATAGTGACATAAGACAACCAATAAGGTTGGTAAAGATAATTCATAATGTCGTAGACCTGACGTAATCATTTAGTGACGTCGATCTACGAACGAAACAATGATATCAGGCATTGCTAAAAACATGCAGTTCTCTTCGGTGCGTTATCTTAGCGAGACAGAGACGAACTAGTGTTTTGCGTTAGTGAAATAGCTTTAATATATATTTGTTTTGAAGAATCGTTTTTAATATTTTATCATTTTTTGGATCATTCTGAATAAAAAAACGTTAATTGTAATTTTTCTCTAAAGTTGATCGTTATAAACAACGACTTATAAACAATTTAAAACTGAAAAAAAAAACGAAAAATGATGATTGAGGGCTCAAAAACGCAATTATTTTTGAATTCAGCAAACCTTGTTCCATTAGTTCCTAATACTTTAGCTTGGGTTTAATTTAAAAACATTGTTTTAGTTGTTTGAGGCCCTAATCAGAACCTAAAAATGGATTTATACAAAAACTGTTTAAATTAGGATCACTTTTTGTATGAGCGACCTCATGTACATTATGCTGCGGTATTTTATGAAAGTGATTATGCAAAAAATCTCATGGGAATATTTTCCCCAAGTAATTCGAGGTTTTCGTCTTATATAAACATAATTTGCTGAATTTAAAACCAAAATCCCATTATTTTTCTATCAAACATTGATTTATTTATTTATTTATTTGCCCTGTAGATTTTTTCAGTTCTTAAAAGGTATATTTATAAACCAAATTAGTGTAATGTAAATATTTTACATTTTTACACAGCAATTCTTATCGGCAGTGCAGACGTGAAGCCGTAAATTTTTATTACATCTTTCAATGTGAGATAAAATAAAAATGCTATGACTAACTGGAATGTTCAAGATTAGAGAAACATAATATGTCATGTTTAGTGGAAATACTCGACATCATTAGCACGTGCAAATCGTACCCTGTCGCCCAATTTCCTATGAAATTAAAATGGTAAATGTTTTTAGGGTCTATTTATTTTTTCGGGCATGCACATTCGTCTTTAATTGTTAAGTGGGGCCATATTAACCGGCATCACTGAACTCATAAATGGGACTTTCAAATAGTAAATGTTCAAGAGTTTCCAACTAATTTGTGTTGTAATTGAAAATATATTATATATATGTTACATCATCGATATAATATACTAAATTTTAACAAAGTAGGCTAATTCTAACTAAGCTTGGTAGCAAGGTAAATTATAAACTTTTATTTAAAATAAGTTACAAAATACTAAATTTTATTCATTTGAGTCTTCAGTTTCACCTTCCCCATGTGGAAGATTCCTATAATATTCCTTGTATTTTTCAGGGATCCAATCTAACATATTTGTCAAATAATTGTACTTACTATTATTTAATTCGAACATTATTTGAAATAAAATTCGGAATTTGAAAATGTTGGTTTTCTACAGTTCTTTTTCTTCCGTAAACATACTCATAGAAGAATTCATTAGAGATGAACATGACTTAAAATCCTGTAACTGCATAATACTTACTCTAAATGGGCTTTTAGACCTTCAAGTTTTTATAAAATTAGCCCAGTCATTACAAGTAAATGTTTCCGAGGATGATAAATGCTCTTTCATTGTCTCTATGATGCTGTGTTCGCCATCAACCTCCACGTGTGTGTGCCCACGAAAAAGAAATTTGTGTCAATCTCTGGAATGTGAAACACCAGCCAGAAGTACAATATTACCATCATCATGTTCCTATTCTGGCCTGTACAATTATCTGACCATATTGTTATTCTTTGGCACATGAGTTATGAAAATCATTAGTAGGTAGCTCATCTCAACATGCATCAGGCCATTTCATTACCTCCACGACCTCCCCTTATAAACAAAATACACCAGGTAGCGTGGCTGGGCTCATGAATTGTGTAATTTAGGGACCGTAATTTACGCAAATAAAAGCTAGACGAATTTGTTAAAAAAGGCATCGGTAAACATTTTTGAAGATCTACGATATACACTTTATAAAATTGATCGTTTGATGCTATTTCTTTATCCTTTCTTTTTAAATTGCAACGAAGCGATGCTTCTGTTAGATGATTTTATTGATCAATTTTAACATTTTCTTCTTCGGCATTGCTCAATGTACTTTCTCTAAGTTTAGCAGTAAATGAATCGCAAATGTCACATGTATTATTACTGGGTGGATGGAAGCAGTAATTAAATTCTTTGTTGAATACTTACCTAAACTGCCAATCTTTTGCTGGAATCTTCCGATGTTTTATTGGTTTATTGGATGGAGTATGTCGTCCTCGTAAGTCTGGTGTTATAATACCAGAATTAAGAGCTTTAACTCTTTGACTGCTCAACGCATTTTCATGAAATCTATGCTAATCAAGATTTTTTGAAAATATTGATTTGGAAATGAAATATTTATTAAATAAAGGGTTATATTTAACATAATTTAATTTAGTTAATTTTAAAAAATGACTCGGATCCGAGTCGTGAGCACATTAGTTATATATTTACTATGTGTGCTAAGCGGCTCGGATATGAGTCGCTACTGTGTTATTCAAAACAAAAGAATTAATTTAAAGTTGAATTTTGAAAGTATCAAAACAGCATTTTTGTAAAGTTTTGCTGATTCATAACCATGATAGAAAGGTTTTTTTCAATTAATTTTATTACCTGTGCAGTTCACTGAAATTTAGAAAGTAAAGACAGGTAAACAGCTTAGGTAGATTGTATGCCTGATAACGAATTGAGTGATTTAAATCGACCACCCTTGGCAATTAAGAAGATATTCAAAAATGTTAATTTGAATATTAGTAATTGTTAGAAGGATTACAGGTAGGTAAAATTAAAGGCACTTATAATATTAAAATGTATATTTTTGAACAGATATTCTAATTATTCTACGAAAATCTAATAAACCAAATATTTCATTCAAACCTTATAACAATAAAATTTTAATTTATTCAGAAAATTTTAATCCGCTGAACATTGTAAACTTAACCAGAAAACATTTGCAAAGAGTTGCACATTTCAAAACAGAAAAATCACCAAAATAATATGTATGGATGCTC